TCTTTACTTGAATTCCCCTGAAAATAGAGCTTGAGACAAAGGCTTTATGTGGTAGTGTTTTGGGAAAGTGACCCCTGAGGGCATGAATGGGGAGGAAAGAAACCCCAACAGGCAAGGAAGAGGAAGTCAGTAAGAATTCATTACTGCCAAAACCAGTTGGGCTCAATGGATAGAGCTAGGTCTGCGGACTGAAAGGTCCCAGGTTCGATTCCTGTCAAAGGCATGTACATTGGTTGCAGGCACATCCCTGGTAGGGGGTGTGCAGGAGGCAGCTGGTCGATGTTTCTCTCTCATCGACATTTCTAGATTTCTATCCTCCCTTTCTCTCTGTGGAAAATCAATAAAATATTGTATTTTTCAGACCATAAGACGCACTTTTTTCCCCCCAGAAGTGGGGGGAAAAAGTCCCTGCGTCTTATGGTCCAAATATAGCCTACACATATACTTTTAAAAAAAAGTTTTTTTACTTGCCCGGCTCTGTGTGGTCTCTGTGTGCTTGCCCGGCTCTAAAATGGTTCTAAATGCTGCTGTTTACTTACAGGGTTGATTACATGTGTTTATGACTGTGATGTTGGGTTTTAATGCACATAAAATATTTTAGGACACTATTTGTTTCAGAATCTTTTTTTCTTCATTTCCCTTCTCTAAAAACTGGTGTGTCTTATGGTCCGGAGCGTCTTATGGTCCGAAAAATACAGTATATTTACAAAAAAAAAAAAAAAAAAATTACTGAGACACCATGTGGGCAGCAGGGACTTAATTCTGCCTGTCTGCCTGAGATATGGACAGAAGCCTCTCACAGTTGTCCAGTAGGACAGGACAGGGGTATTTATCCACTGGTTCCCATGGCACACTGATCAGGGGTCATCCAGGAGCAGAAAACAAAGCAAAGCCTCTGGCTACTCTCCTGGAAGGTCCTGGGTGCAGCCAGCAGGGGCCCGCTGAGGATGGGGCTCCCATCAGAGGTGCAGTATGCGAACTGGGGCCAAAGACTGACACAGTGATCATCTTCCCATTTTACAGAGAGACAACCAAGGCACACAGAGGTTACTCCACCTGCTCAGCTCAGAGGCCAGTCAGTGGCAGAGAAGCCCCACCACATGAGGGAGGAGGAAGGCTGTACCCCAGTCTCCCCTGGAGAGGGAGCCGTCTTTCCACCAATTCAATACAGAGACATGTTCGTGACATTCACTTAAATGTTGGATTTTTCTCCTTTGGCAATTCATTTTTAAATTTGCAACAATGTGCTACTGCCATGCTGCCATCTGTATTTATGGGGGGAAACAAATACTTTTCCTTTGAGATCATGTAGGAAGCCTGAGGTTCGGATGGTAACTGACACTTGAGGGAAAAGAAGAAACAAAAAATATATACAGCTCAGATTAGGATCCAAGATGGCTGCACAAGTAAAAACCTAACCGCAGCCGCACACAACAATTTCAATGGAATACAACTAAAATATAAAGTGGACATTGCCCAGAGCTACAGGTAGTCAACTGACTGAAAATTCTACAACAAGAAGGAAAGAGAAAACCAGAAGGAAAATCAGAGGAGCTGAAAAAAAGCCTAAGGTACGGAGACATGCTGCGCGCTCACACGCACGCGCGGAGATGTCGCAGCCAGAGAGGAGGAGAGGGCTGGGTGCTGCCTGGCGTTCCCTAGCAGGAAGGAAATAAAAGCCCCAGACTGGGCTGAACCCCAGAACCGGCAGTGCTGAGCCCCAGTTCTGGGCCAGACCCTGGGGATCCAGGCTCAGGCAGGGGGAGACTGGGCTGTGCAGTGGAATCCCAGGGGAGCGGTGAAAAGCGGAGCCCCCGGAGTCGCGCGCACATTGCGCGCAGAGGACGGAATGTTGACTCTGATGCTGGATTGCCCTGGAGGGAAGGAAACAAAACCTCTGGTTGTGCTGAGCCCCAGTTCCGACTGCTCTGAACCCCAGGTCTAGGCCAGTCCCTGGGGACCCAGGCTCAAGCAGAGGGAGACAGGGCTGTGAGGCGGAATCCCGGGGGAGCGGCGAAAGGCAGAGCCCCCGGAGTCGCGCATATTGTGGGCAGAGAACAGTCTGTTGACTCTGATGCTAGACTCCGCTAGTGGGAAGGAGAAAAAAGCTCCAGACTGGAAGGAACGCAATGAGGAGCAGGATCCACTGACGGACACCGGCCAGCCAGGTGCCGGCAAGGAGCCGGGTGACAGGGCCCCGGGGGGGGGGGGGGGGGGTGCCACTGGGCCCTCAACTGCTGATCATGATCCACAGAGCAGAGGCCGGGGGCTGCTTCCTGGGCGGCGCCGACCCCGGCAACAGGCTGAAACCGCACAGGAGGCCACAGAGAACAAAGGGGCACCGCAGGCCAGCCTGCTGAGCTTCCAGGACAAGGAGGAAGAAACCGAAGAAGTTTTCAATGTGAAGAAATCAAGTTATAGCAAAAGATAGTAAATTGCTTAAGAAAGAATACAAATAAGATCTTGAAAAATCGAAGACTAAGACAGAACTCAACTCAGCAGCCAACATTGCAACATAAATGCGTTAAAAAAAAAAATAAAGGACAAAATGTTGGAACAGCGTTGGCCAGGCCCAGAGTGGCCAGGCCCAAGGCAGTGGCAGTCGGGCCCAGAGCAGCAGCAGCCAGGCCCCAGAGCAGCAGCAGCCAGAACCAGAGCAGCAGCAGCCAGGCCCAGAGCAGCCAGACCGGGGGCAGTGGCAGCCGGGCCTGGGGCAGAGGCAGCCAAGCCCAGAGTGGCCAGGCCAGGAGCACCCAGGCCCGAAGCGGCTGGGCCCGGAGCAGCCGGGCCCAGAGCAGCCAGGTTGGGAGCAGCCAGGCCCAGAGCAGCAGCAGCCAGGCCCAGAGCAGCGGGCCCAGAGCAGCCGGGTCGGGAGCAGCCAGGCCCAGAGCAGCAGCAACCAAGCCCGGAGCAGCCAGGTCAGGAGTGGCCGGGCCCGGAGCAGCCGAGCCCAGAGCAGCCAGGTTGGGAGCAGCCAGGCTCGGAGCAGCTGGGCCCAGAGCAGCCAGGTCAGGAGCATCCAGGCCCAGAGCAGCCGGGCCAGGAGCGGCCAGGCCCAGAGCAGCAGCAGCCAGGCCTGAAGCGGCAGTGGCCAGGCCCGGAGCAGCTGGTTGTGGAACGAACCAGAGCAACAGAGGCCAGTCCCGGAGCAGCCAGGCCCGGAACAGCTCGCTCCTCGCCTGCCCACGCCCCAGGGCTGCCTCTCAGACATGGCTGGAAACTTTTGGGGGAACTTGAGGGTCTGCTGAATCAAGTGATGAAGGCTTAGATCTGGATGTGCTGAGTTAGTATAGCGCTGGGGTGTTGATCTGTGAGTGCCTTGTGTGGGGTCTGGATGAGGTTAGTTGATCTATTTGGAAATGTCTTTTGTGTGACGTGTATCCTTGGGCATGTGGAGGTATTATTGATTTGAGAAAATGCTAAGTAACTGATTTACTATCTGAAAAATTTAAAGTTCTGAAAGTTTAAGGCCTCTTGCCAAAAAGAGGTTTTAAAGCTAACACCTTAATTTTAATGGAGAAAGGGGAGGACAAGCCCTTCCCACCCAGAACAGGTAATCCAATTCCAACCAGCAGCTATCTTTAAACCATGTGTTCATTTACATTTGAATGGCTATACCTTTTGATAGCCTAAGGACAAGTTTACATGTAAACAAGTTTGCTTCTCAATTCCAAGGGTAGAAAAAACAAGGTTTAAAATTATTAGATTTTAAAATTTATTCTTAGAAGTGTAAAAGTTTATTAATTAAAAAAGAAAAAACAACAACATCAACAAAAAGGAGACTGAAAAACCTGATGAACAATATTAGCTGTTGATTGTAGTAGAGTCGGAGATACTGGAGGGGAGTGGACTGACAGTTCTGGGGAAAGGGGGAGCGGTGGATGGGGGAAGAGACTGAACATAAACTGCACCTATGGATGAGGACAATGGGGGGTGGGGAGGGGCGGAGGGTGGGGTGGGAACCTGGTGAAGGGGGGAAGAAATGAGGAACCTTTGTAATAATATGAACAATATTGATTTTTTTAAAATTTGAAGAAAAAAATATATATATAGCTCAGACAATCTTTTTTGAGTTCAGTTCTTTTTTTTTAAACTGTTTTTCAATTTTTTATTAAAGTGGAATGCTTCAGAGAGTATAGAAATACACCTCACAATGACCTGTTAGAAGTCAATCATCTGCTTCAAACTTACAGAAGAAATACCTACCAAATTCTGCCTCATCAGATTTTATTCAGTTGTACATACATATTATCAGAACGACACCAAAGCGGCCACATTTGACAAGATTCTTCTAAAGTAGACATAATTTTTCTGACAGATTATGTTTCCCCTTGACGAAAGTTGTAACACTTGTGAGGGTTTTGAAAGATAAGCTTGAAGGGCCACAGATTAACATCAGGGCAGGGAGCTGCAGATGGCATGCACACAGGGTCCGGAGGAAGAGACCCTGGCGAGGGGCTGGCAGTCCCCAAGCACACAACACTTCAGGGAGACAAAACACAGAGGAAGGGTCTGGGTTCCCATTCAGGACTTCTAAGACATCACACTCAGGACAGGAGAGGAAACGGAGACTTCTTACACAGTCTGGCACTGCCTCCAAGGGACAAGGACCAGCATGGTTTAAGGGGAGGATGGCCTTTGAGATGCGGTGAGCAGGCTCACTTCCCCTCAGGCTTTCTCAAGGCACTGGCTGGGCTCCCGCACATGCTCCCAGCAAGAACAAAACTCCTTGCAGAAGAGCACTGGCACCTGAAGGGCACTCGGTGAGAGTACGGTGTCCTCCGCAGTTCGAATTCTGCCTGGTGAAATGCACGAGGGGACTTGAGCCGCCGGGGAGAGCCCCCGCGGTGAGTCATAAGGTCACTGTCTTCCCTCTTCCATCCACTCTGGCTCCTGCTGAAACCTCCCCAGGGAAGAGGAACTGGAGAGCTTACCCGGGCTCCTACATGTTGCCGTGGCGTTTTACGATCAATTCTTTTTCCCTGTTCTGTTCCTCCTTCGTGGCCAACGTGAAGGGAGAAATCACAGTTGCATACACGGACTGCACATGAGACTGGCCAGCCGGAGTCTGGAGCCCTCCTCGGAAGGGTTTCTGTCTGCCTTTCCCACCCTTTTGGGCAGAACCACCTTTCCTAATCAAGCAGGTCAGCTTGATGTTTGCAGGGGACCCCGTTTACACTGACTTAGCATTTTAAAATTGCCTCTGAATTACAAAAGTTGGCATGAGATCACTTTTTTTCAATGTACTTTACTTCTAACGACTGATACGTAGCACCTTTCAGGTGAGATCAATTGGGAAGAGAAAAGACTAGTGTGTGGACAAGACTAGTGTCTTTCTTCTCTCCCTCATTTGTTGAAAACAAATAAATAAAATAAGGGGGGGAAAGACATAGTAAAGAGCTTGCGGTGTGTTCTCCAACCAAAACTGCAGATGTGTCTTTCTGAGGCCACAGCAAGGCCTGGGAACGTCAGGATAACCAAGGACAGATCGTCTCACTTACCACGAGGCACGTCTATTGCCGTGTCTGTCAGATGGGGGCAGAAGGGCCATTGCTTACCCACATCCCGGTGCAAGGGCTGATAGGCATCGGGAGAAACTGCCAGGCATATGATCAGGCCTTCCAAAGAAAAGCTGTCACATGCCAAGTCCCTGTCTTCCCTGAAGGTGCAGATCAATCATTCTTACGTCCATCAAACAGGCATTTTCTTTGTGCCCACACCACTCCATAGTTATCTGGGCTTCCCTCGGAGTGGCCCTGCTCCTTTGAGCTCATGGATGGATGCTTTTTCTCTCCGCGTATTCTCTGCTGGACCCAGAGAACTGAGGATCCCCAGAAAACACACATGGGGTACGCACCCCAAGACCCGGTCCACAATGCCCAACTTTTGTCTCCACAAAGAGGGACATGGACTTTACTAAGGACACGAATCACTGAGATAAATATATATACTCCCTCAATAAAAAAAAAAAATAAAAAAAAATAAAAAAAAGAGAGACATTAATTTTATATAGATTTCCCTCTCATTCAAAAGCATCTGGCCCAGACAGGAAAAGTCAACCCGTTCTGGTTGCAATGAGATCATACACATCACAGGGCCAGGTGAAGGGCAGACTGGAGTGGGGGAGCTCCCTGCTGCTCCGGGGATTTTCAATCCCTGCTAGGAATCCACCTTTGGGAAAATGCTCACTTTATTGTTTCTACTCATCTTCCACTCCACCCTGCCCACCTTGGGCATCTTTGTCTGGATCAGCTCTTCCGGGGTGTTCCCCAAGGGGGGCAGCAGCCGCTTTTTGCTGTTTCGGGTCTCTGAGAGCCACTGGGGAGGCAACTCAAAGGGACCAAAACCAAACTGCAGGGAATACTTGCCAGGGAATGTCTCAGGTTCCACAGGGGCTGCTGAAGCCCCCTGGGATAGAGAGTCCACAGCCCCCAGCAGGGGCGGCACAGGCGGCGCAGACAGCGGCCCCTGCTCCCTCTCCAGGCAGGGCCCAAGTAGCTCCTTGGCCTGGAGGTCAGCGGAGCCGGCGTACTTGGCTTCGCTCTCCTCCTCGTCCTCCGCGGGCTGGAAGATCTGCTGCTGCCCGATGTGGAACATCTCCAGGAGCTGGCTTCCCGAGCGCACGCTGGGCTCCAGGCTGCCTTCGGCCAGCCCGCTCCCCGCGCAGACCACGTTCCGGCGGCTGTACCGGTGGTGGAGCTGCACGAAGGTCCCCACCAAGCACTTGCGCACAGACTTGTTCACGGTCAGGAAGAGCACGGGGTTTGCCAGCAGAGAGACTTTGGGCAGCCAGATGGCCGTGAGCAGCAAGAAGACGGACGTGTCGGGGGCGTTGAGCACGGTCTGGTAGACCACCAGGGTGGCGTAGGGCACGCTGCACAGGATGAAGACCATCACCATGGAGAGCAGCGTGGCGTGCAGCTCGGCCTCGCGCTGGGAGGCGTAGGGGATGGAGATGGTGTTCTGCGGCGTCCGGAGCGCGGCGATGACGACCTTCTTCTTCTGGCTGGCACTCAGGGCCCGCCGGATCAGTATCAGGAAGAGGAAGACCGTGGCCACCGGCACGATGACCGTGGTGATGTTGTAGACCAGGACGTACACCAGGTGGCCCAGGGAGTTGCTCCACACTTCGGTGCAGGTGGACATGGCGTAGATGTCGGCCACGTTGGTCACCGCAAACACCGGGACGCTGGCCACGACCGCGTGGGCCCAGATGTACATCACCAGCTCCCGGGACCTGGCGTCAGATATTTTTCTCTCCAGAGGATAGAGGACTGAGTAGTACCTGCAAAAGGCACACAGAAGATTCACTCCGCGGGAGATGTGCTTCAAATAGGGGAGTCTCTATTGCCCAAAGTGGGAGAGACGGAAAAAAGGGTCAAGTTCTTTCATTCTGCCTAAGAAAGAGGGAACCACGGGGGGATTGGGCAGCCAGGTCTTACATTTTGAAGACTCTGCTGCACCATTCACAACTAGGTTTATAATTATTGCTACCAAGATTAAATTCCAAAGAGTGCTCTCCATAGAAAGGATGCCCCCATCTGCCGTAAAGACATCTATTTTTTCAGTGTAAGGCTAATTTGTAAAAAGTGGATATATAACCTTACAGCTGCTCAGGGCAAAGCCTAATATGAAGGATGGACTCTGACAAAGTCCTTCCACAAAATCCACTGATACAAAGTATGCCTGCTCTATAGCTAAGGCCCCCGAGGATAATCACTTAGTAACTCTAACAGCAAATAATAGGTCTAAAATGCCTGCATGTTAGAATCTTTTCCCCTTCAAGCCTAACTTGATTATTCCATAACCACCTAATCAGAATTCAGAAAGCACCCTGCTTCCATATCAGCAATGATTTGGCAGAACTGAGTAGTTCTTCAGACCCTAGAGCCACACCTTCCAGGAAAGGGCTGCCACTAGCTATCAGAATTGGGTGATTACCAGAGATTAGCTCCGCCCACATCACTGCAGTCAGCTAACGCAGGAGTCAACCTTACAACCCTGTTAACATTCATTCGTTCGTGAGGCCAACTAAACACAGATGCTTTCCTGTCACAAGGGTTTCTGAGCACCACCTATGTGTTAGGCACTGAGTTACAAAAAGGAGAAAAGATATACAGGGATGTTTCTAACGTTAATGGGGGTTGGGGGGGGGAGCATGCAAACAAACAATTATCAATGAGGAGACGATGGCTCTACTGGAGGTATGCACCAAGGGAGTACGGGAAAGGGGGCACCTGGGAAAATGTCAAGAGAAGGAGACACTGTGGTGGAGCTGGCAGGGGACCAGCTGGGGGGAATGCTCCAGCTCAGGGAGATGCGATGCAAACACAACATGAGCAGATGATCAGAGATGGATGGAGCACGATGAAATGTGTCCGAGATATTTTTCTGGGAGGGGGGAAAGGGGAGAAAAATACGTAAGTTATGCATGCTCTCCATCTTATTTTTCTGATACAAATAACGGTTTCCACCCACACATGAAAACATGCTCAGGAGCTCCCTGGCTCTGATTCTTATTTGCTAACTGGCAGATAACGAACCCAGGCTTCCAGGCATTTTTGCTTCCATTATGTATTGGGAAATAGGCTGCAACAGAGGCTCATTATATGTAATTTTGTTAGTGTATACACCTCTAGAAAATAATGCAGAAAGTGTAGGTGGCCTCCCAATTAACTTGCTGATTCAGTGCCATGAAACAAATATCTGTGAAAGAAGTGAGAGAAAGGATCATTTTCCCTTCACCTTCATGCACACCATACATAAGTTTACGAGTAATTTGTGTCTCTAAATAATAAAATAGGATACTACCAGTCTTATTTGTCTCCTAAAAGGGCTTGTTTACCTTTAAAGAAATAATAATGGCAAGTACACAGTAGATTGTCTGATGGAAAGAAAGGATTTTTTTATTGTTAGCATATTTTCCTCTCTAAGGCCAAGGGCCCAGAAATAACCTACAGTTATTATTGCATTGATTCTAGGTATAACAGAAAAGTATTCAAAACAATGTGTTCTCACTCTTGTTGAATTAAAAAAAACACTCTTTAAAACATTTCAGGATTCATAGCAGTATTATTCACAATAGTAAGAAAAAATGGAAACAACCCAAATGTCCAAACTAATGAACGGATAACAAAAGTGGTACAGCCAATCAAAGGACTATTATCTATATATCTATATCTATATCTATATCTATATCTATATCTATATCTATATCTATATCATCTATATAAAAGCCTCAGTGACTGTTATGGCAGAACAATCAGTTGTTATGATTTACACTGGCCACCAGGGGCTAGGCACTCAATGCAGAAGCTGCCCCCTGGTGGTCAGTGCACTCCCACAGGGGGAGCGCCACTCAGCCCTGCTTCAGCCCCTGAAGGGTCCTGGACTGCCAGAGGGATGTACAACTGCCAGCGTAGGCCTGATCCCAGTGCTGTTCTCTGTAGAGGGCAGTCAGTCTGAACAACTCAGTGACTCAGAGAAGCGCAGGGAACTCAGGGTGAGCATGCCTTGACTCACCCACTCAATGGTGTTCACAGGACAGACTGTAGTGGCCCAACCCATGTACGTGCAGTAGCTGCTGAAGCTGCTGAAGCTCAAGCAGCAAGCCATGCAGCAGCAGAAGAGCAGAAGGCCATCCAGCTACAAGCCAGCAGTCAGATATCCCCTAAGACTGTGAGAGATGTAGGTCAGACTGAGACACCCCCTCCCCGCACTCACCCCCAGTGTATGAATTTCATGCACCAGGCCTCTGGTTCACCAATAAAAAATAATGAAGAAAGTTGTTAAAAGGGTAGATCCTAAGAGTTCTCTTTATAAGGAAAAAATTGTCCTTTTATATCTACATTGGGGGTGGAGGGGGGGGGGCGCGGGATCTCTCAGCCTGGCTTGTGCCCTCTTGCAGTTCAGGTCCCCTTGGTTACTGTAGAGCAGTCATGGCAAACTGGCATTGCATGGTACACATTTAGCTTGCTGAGGGATTTGAGTGTTCCACATAATATATTTAATGCAAATTAATTGTAAACATTAAAAAATGATAGAAATCTAAATTTCTAATTTTTCTCCTAAGAAAATAGAGTGCTGCCCACTAAATGTAGATAGCCACAAAGCAATTATTAGCTGCATCTGCTAAGTGACTGACCCCAATGAACAGGAATGCACACACCACCCCAGTCTGGCCTGTGGCTCCTGCCTTGTCTGATCCTGTGGGTGGTGAGTTTCTAGTGAGAAAATTCCGAAGAGCTAGAGTGGCTCACAGCAATATCTGATGGTGAAATTATTGCAGACAATAAATCGAAAGAAGAATGTGCCAATTAGAAGCAAAGCCCAGAGAAAAAGAGGCAAACATTGGTGCAATCTATCCAACCACAGGCCACAAATAATTCTCTTAATTCTTCTTACTGCTGAGGAAAGTGAGGTTCAGAAAGATTAAGCCACTTTGCCCAAAGCCACTAACCAAAAAAAGCAATGTAGACAGACTTCTGACTTCAGAGTTCCCTCTCTTAAGCCTACAACTTCTCCTCATGCAGGGGCTTTGTATGACTCTGTCACTCCATGCAGGTGACACTAGGCAGCTAATGAAATCAAGGTTCCAGGCCTGAGAGGCTGAAAGTGACTCTACAAATGGGATCTGCAATCCATACTCTCTCAGGTCATTAAGATATTAAGCATGTTTTGAATGAACAAAGCATTTTAAAATTCCAAATTCATCTAAAATGAGTTAAATTTATCATCCTATATAATAAAAGCCTAATATGCTAAAGTGTCTGGTTGTCTGGTTGGCCATTCAACCAATCAAAGCATAATATGCTAATGATATGCTAAAGTCACTCAACTGCTTGCTATGATGTGCACTGACCACCAGGGGGCAGACCCTCTGATAGGTAGGTTTTCTTGCTGCTGGGGTCTGGCTGATCTGGACTGAGCAAGACAGGCGGGACATACTCTGGAACCCTACCCAGCTCTGATCATGCACCAGTGGGGTCCCTCAGCCTGGCCTGTACCCTCTCACAACCCACCCCTTGGGGGATGTTGGAGGGCCAATTTTGGCCCAACAGTGGAATGACTGTTCACTATGATGCTCACCGACACCAGGGGGCAGACGCTCAACACAGGAGCTGCTCCCTGGTGGTCATTGTGCTCCCACAGGGGGAGCACTGCTTAGCCAGAAGTCGGGCTCACGGCTGGTGAGTGCAGAGGTGGTAGCAGAAGCCTCTCCTGCCTCCGCAGCAGCACTAAAGATGTCCAACTACCACCTTAGGCCCAAGGGCTCCTGGACTGCAAGAGGATACAGGCCAGGCAGAGGGACCCCCGCCCTTCCCTTCCCCTCCCCAAGTGCACGAATTTCATGCACTGGGCTTCTTGCAGGGTATAAAGTCAGAAGAGCCAGCCAATTTTATCTGTTCAACAACTTTTCCTCTCTGCAAATATTGAAATCAAAAGTACTCATGGGCACAAAATACTTTCCAATTCTCGTTTTCTTATTTAATTCTATTCTCTGTATTATTATGTCAACTGTATTCATGATAGACTAGCAACAAAGGGAAAAGACAGGAGGCTGTTGATTACTAAGATCTTTAAACTCCAATAAATTTGATCAAATTATGTATGTAGTAAGATTCATTTCCAAATGAACATCCTCCTAAAGAGGATGAGAAGAGAAAACAACAACCATCACAATATAAGGCCTTGGAAATAAACCCTCCAAAGGAATTCTGGCCAAGTCCAATTGGACTATCTAATCTTTTGTTAAATAACACTGAATTGTTCTCCTGTTCAACCAGAAATGCTTTTGTCTTACATCAAAAGCCCTAATTGTGGAGTTATCAATCAGATGAGCCTATCTACTGCAAATTGCAACACAAATACCAGCAATTCCAACCAAGCTGAAGCTACACCAGGCTCCAGTAGCTCTGCCCCAGCATCATGATGTGACTCCCAAAGTCACATCTTTTTCCAATGGTCCTATTTTCCATAGCTGCTGTGATGTCCACCTGTCTTGTGTGAGGTATCTGTTCTGGCAATTCATTCTCTTTCTGTTGACCATAAACTAAAATAGTGGAATAATGACTATTTCCCATTTACTTCATGATGCTAATATTTCAATATATCAATACTTTCAAAAATTGGGCCTTTGGCTACCTGACCTTACCTGTCCAAGGCAATGGCAGGGAAGCTGAGGATAGTCACAGAGCAGAAGACTTTATGCAAAAATTTGACGACCTTGCAGAAGAGCATGGTGTAGATCCACCAGCAACAGTGAGGGCTGGTGCTGAGGATGATGTCGAAGGGCACACAGACCAGGCTGGCACAAATCCCCGAGCAGGCCAGGTTTTTAATGAACCTGTTAGTGACAGATTTGAACACGGTTGTGCGGCAAGTTGACCATAACACCATGAAGTTTCCTGGCCAGATATGCAAAATAAATAAGTAAAAATAAAAAAATAAATTTAAATAAAAAGAAAGAAGGAAAAAGGGAAAGAAAACACAGGTTAAAAAAGACCGAAAAACCACATTTCAGAGTTGATTTCAAAGTATTGAATTTAAATACTTATATATTATATTGTCAATTTATGTGAAATCATTTAAACCATTTATATACATCTCAAAAATTCTGCAAGAATTTTTAGTGGTGAATTTTGATACTTGATTTAGGCATATCCTGTTGTGGCCCTTCATAGGTCTTATCATAATTATTCATTTGTTTACTAGCATTACGATGCTGATTCAGTCTCCTCTAAGTATAAACAATTTGCTTGGAATTACTTCGTCTGAGGCAGCTTACTCTCACCAAGTTTGAAAATGACTTCCACGTTGCCAAACTCTGCAACAGAAATAGGACGCATACCACAGGTGCAATTTTAAATTTTCTAGTAGCCTTATTTTTTAAAAAATGAAAAGCAGGCAGAATTTTAACAGTGTATTTTATTTAACTCAATATATCCCAAATATTGTCATTTCAATATGTAATCACTACTTTAAAGAATAGTAATGAAATATTTTTCATTCTTGTTTTTTAATTCAGTCTTTGAATCTGGTGTGTATTTCTTTAATTGAAATAGAATTGACATATACCATTGTATTAGTCTTAGCTGTACATGATGTGCATCTCATAGTACATTTCAATTTGCACAAGTTACATTTTAAGGGGTCAGTAGCTACATGCAGCTGGGGGCTCCTATGCAGGACTGTGCTGTTCTAGACCTTTAACAGAAATGACACATTTGACTAGCTCTCTTTGAGCATCCTCCTCTCTGGCTTCCACAGACCTAAAGTCTCCTGGTTTTCCTCCTACCTTCCCACTGTGTCCTGGATATTCCTACTTTTCTTCACCAGGCCCTTAGCTATCCTCTCTTCAAAAGCTCTTCCTAGATTAGATTACCCATTCAGGTGGCTCTCTGTTGAAATGCTGATGACTCCCAGAGTCGTATCCCAAACTAGGCCTCTCCTCTCAATGCCAAACTCCTATTTCCAACTATGCATCGGATTCCCCACACCTCTCATCTGCCTCCTCTTGATCCTCAAGAGCCTAGGTAATCTAGGTGCCTTCCTGGCTCACTGGGCACCAGTTACTTTGGCCTTGTTTTTTCTTTAAAGAGGATCAAAGTTGATCATGTCTCCGGGCTTTTGCACATGTCTTTTTATACTGCCTCATTTGCTCCTCATATGTCTGGTTCCTTTGAATTTAAGTCTTAATGTAATTTGTGTCTCCTCAAAGAGGACCTTCTCTGTCTTTTTATTTTAAATACTCATTATTCCTCCTTCCGTTTTATAGTCTATTATAATATCCTATTGTGCCCTTAACTCTAATCATAACTATTAATTTATTTACTTGTTTCCCCTTCATTTCATAAGGATAAAAACAATGTCAATCTTGGTCATGTTATAACTCTACTGCCCTGCTCAGTATGACACACAACAGGCAGTTGATAAATGTTCATTGAATAAATGAATTTGTAAGATAAGGGAACAAGCAGTAATCAAAAATCCCTGCAGTAAGAGGACCCCTTTTATAATAGGTACCAGAGGCCTGGTGCATGAAATTCATGCGTTGGGCGGGGGCGGGGGTGGGGGGAAGAGGAGGGTTCCCCCCCAGTCCAGCCTGCACCCTTTCCAATCCGGGACCCCTCGGGGGATGTCCGAGATTTAGGCTGGGGATCAGGCCTAAACCGGCAGTCAGACATCCTTCTCACAATCTGGGACTGCTGGCTCCTAACTGCTCACTGCCTGCCTGCATGATTGCCCCTAACTGGTGGAGTTTTTACGTGGTGAGAGAGTCAGGTCAATTCGGCCAGTTAGTCATGACCCAAGGATATTGCTACCTCCAGTGCACATACTTGGAGAATGCCCTCCAATGAATTGAGCCAACAACTGGGCCTCACCAAAGGAGAGTGGTGGTACCAGGGGAGGGGACAGCAAGGCTCTAGGCTGTAGCCAGTCACTGCAAGGAGCTGCCTCTCTGCACCTCAGATGTTGGCATAACTCACTGTCAAGGGCCTCTCTTCAAACATGATATTCTATAGCTACTTCTTATCTGCCTGACAAAGTGGAAACAATAGCCACTGTGTTTAGGTAAGTAGGCCACAGCTGTTTCTAGGAAATTCGCTACTTAACTTTCCTCACATCAGTAGCTGCCTCACTGAGATGAAACCAGCTGTGTGAATATATACACACGCTGACTCAGCAGAAGAGCTGTTTTACTCATATCACCAGCCTCCTCAAGCTATCCTGTCACCAAAGTGATGGAGCAATAATAATGCGAAGCTCCACTGATTTGGGGAATTGTTTTTCCTGGCCTTTTTCCACTGAAGCACAGATTTGAATCTGGCTGATGTATCTTTCCTCACTTCAGTTTTACAAACAGGACTTAAATTCTGGTAACCGTCTAAAAATGAAATTGCCTTAAATAAATCTGCCTTGCCCTGGCCAGATTGGCTCAGTGGATAGTGTTGACCTGAGAAGTGAAGGGTCCCAGGTTAGATTCCAGTCAAGGGCATGTATCTTGATTGCAGGCACATCCCCCGTAGGGAGTGTGCAGGAGGCAGCTGATCAATGATTCTCATTGATGTTTCTCACTCTCCATCCCTCTCCCTTCCTCTCTGTAAAAAAAATCAATAAAATATATGTTTTTTTAAATAAAGGAAAAAATCTGCCTTGAAAAGAGTGCACATGACACAGTATCTTGTTTCAAAATCAGGGTGTCTCCAGTCTATTGAGGGGCTTCCCAAAAGGCAACCCTTCTTTTCTATAAATCAAGAGTCTGGCACTTTTTTCTTTCATCATTGTCAATCTTTGTAATTTGGCAGGTTATGCTGAACAAAACATTTTGAGTATCCAAAGAAACAGGAAAATTCATTACAGAAGAGGGGACATGCTGTGGGCCAAGACCGCTCATGCACAGAGATTCTGTTGAAACTTAAACTGTTTTCCATCATTACCCTCATACTCTACTCTCTTATCTTTCCTTCCCCCTCTCTATTATGTCAGGCATACTTTTTCATTGCTTTAAAAAAAATCATACATTTTACTAGTATGTCCACACTTGTGAATAAGGAAACTTGTTTTCAATGGTAATTACTGAATCACCCGAGACTCCTATAATCACATTTTATTTCCACTAATTATAAAACTCTAGGAGGTATCTAGAGCCTAATTCCGATTGCTATTAAGAACCTGAAGCTAAATTAAGGAAGGCTATGTTATTTCGATGGGGCTACGTTCAATCACACTGAGCCACACTGGCCAGGCAAAACAGCTATTCTTAAAGGTTTGCTTGAATGGATAGTAACTGCATTCTGTAACCCAGCTGCTGTGCATTTTACTGCAGATGCCAGGAGTGGACATTCAAAAGTAGAAACCTCAGGAGGATCAAAGAAACAAAGGTTGATCCTGATAAAATATTCATCCACAAGTCATTCACGACTATAGACTTTTTGTTTCATGAGGTGTTTACATCCTTTGTTGTTAAAGCTATTTATTGCCTTTGAAAACAGTTCACCTTCGCCTTTGGCTCCGTGGATAGAGCATTGGCCTGTGGACTGAAAGGTCCCAGGTCCCAGGTTTGATTCCGGTCAAGGGCATGTACCTTGGTTGCGGGCACATCCCCGGTAGGAGGTGTGCAGGAGGCAGCTGATCCATGTTTCTAACTCTTTATCCCTCTCCCTTCCTCTTTGTAAAAATCAATGAAATATATTAAAAAAAAAAAAAAAAAAGAAAGAAAAGAAAAAGAAAAAGAAAAAAAGAAAACAGTTGACCTTCCTTTTTGGAATACCATAGAGTGTGATTCGGTCTTACTGAGGGTTAAGGGAACATCCATGTTTGCAATGGAAATCAGCACCACTATTACTACAAAAATAAATTAAAACTTTTGGGTTAAAAAAATACAAACAGGTCAATGTTTTATTTAACAAAAAGGTAGCCCAGGCTTATAAACAATATGTGCTATAAACTAGACAGATATGTAAACACAAAAGCTAATGATTCAGATGCAATTCTTTGTGACACTGACTTTGTTTAAAAAAAAAAAAATGCCAGACAGGGGTTAGGGAAGGCTGGGGGAAGGCCAATGGGAGGGAGGGGGGGAGATATATGTACTACTATGTGTAATACTTTAAACAATTAAATTAAATTTTAAAAAATTGCCAGAGAACAAAAAAGTGTGAGATTGATTAATTAAATCCATTTTAAAGAAGCATAGAGGTACAAAAGTAACTTACTCAGTTTAGCAAAAGCTTTCACAAGTTCCCTACTGCCATTAAAAAAAGGCAAATCCAAACTTCTCAACATCAAACAATATGATCTCTGGCCGCCCCCATACTTAAAACCCAGTTTCAGCATCCTGATAGAATGGAATGAACTTGTAAATCTTTTTTATATATATATATTTTATTGATTTTTTTACAGAGAGGAAGAGAGAGGGACAGAGAGTCAGAAACATCGATGAGGAAGAGTCATCGATCAGCTGCCTCTTGCACATCCACTACTGGGGATAGGCCCGCAACCAAGGTACATGCCCTTGACTGGAATTGAACCTGGGACCTTCAGTCCGCAGGCAGACGCTCTATCCATTGAGCCAAACCGGTTTCAGCTGAACTTGTAAATTTAAGAGTCAAATCCATGTTTTCCTCTGCATCCTTAAATCTGCAGCCCAAGCAAAACCCTCAAAGGAACTCCCTTCTTAAGAGAGAGGAGGGAGGAAAGACAAGAGGGGAATAAATAACAGTGTAGAGAAGGCAAATGGTGGCTAGAAGATTTAAAAAAAAAAAAAATCTGTGAACCTGGGAGTAGGGGACACCAACATTAAAATTTGAGTTTCAATGTTCACTCTTCCAAAGGAAAATTTAACTAGTTCTTTAAAAGATTCTATCTTATTCTGATTTTTTACATCTATTTTTAATATAAGCAG